TCAACTCCCAGAATTCCCCAGCCAGCTGGCTGGGGAATTCTGGGAGTTGAAGTCCACCTGTTCAAGTTGCTAAGGCTGAGAAACACTGGACTAGTCTATAGTATTTAGTATTCCCCACTGATCTCCCATCCAAATATTAACCAACTTAACTTCCAAACCCAAACAGGGTCGGGCAAGGGTTGTCATCTGCTGATAACTCTTCTCCCAATAATCTCTATTTTTAAAAAGTAACATGGTATTCAGGGCTTCATATTCAAACTGGGATTCTAATAAAAGGCCATGTTTGTGCTTCTGAGCTGAAGTGGAGCAGAAGAGTGCCCAGAAATAAAACTTGTCACAACTTGACACCTGCTAGGAGAAACAAGCTAAGTTATTACTGTTTACATAGCCAGGCAGCATCCAGTTATCTAAGAGAGATCCATGATCATCCTCTAACCAAATTATACATGAAAATGCCACATTCATGGACGCACAATCTGAATTATTATTTTTTTCATCCCTAATGTAGTTCATACCCAGTTCTGGGAAAATAATTTCTTTCCTTAGCAGGAGTACAATTTGAGGAAAGATAACTTTCATTCTGCTAAAAACTGGCTTCTTAAAAGGCCAAAAAGCAGCATATATGTTAGTGGTATGCTTAAAAGTCAACTTCATTCTTTATGGGGTCCTCATGTCACAGTTTCTATCTTTTTATAATGCTGCTTTCTGTATATGAGAAAGTACCTTGATATACAGCTTCTCTTGATCTGTGGTTTAAACCTGAAGCCATGCACATTGTACTAGATACGTGAAATCATATTTTTATCTTTTTTTTTTTTTTTACAGAATGCATACACTTGTGTAACACAAACACTGGCCACAGTGGAGGAGGCAGAGGTTGCTAAGTGGTTGTCTAATTCGGATCCCAGCTACTGGAACAAAATAAAATGGTAACTACCACCGTAGATAATCTGATTTCTGCAGTTATTGCAAACAAATGTACAGGTAGTCCTCTCTTACCACTATGGTAATTGGGACTATAGTGATGTGGACATAAAGTGCGACATCACATGACTGAGCCAACTTATGATGGCAGTTCTGGCAGCCCCAACTGCCATCGTTAGGCGAATCCCACATGGTCGCAGTGTCCTGCACTCATCTGATTGCCATTTGTGATCTCCTGCTGGCTTCCTCATTGACTTTGCTTGTCAGAAGCTGGCAGTGAAGGTCACAAATGATGATCATGTGACTGCAGGGACACTGCAATGGCCACAACTACGAGGAGTGGTTGTAAGTCCCCCTTGTTCAGCGCCATTGTAACTTTGAATGAGTGGTCATTAAATGGGGGACTACCTGTACCTGTACCTCTGTCATAAGTTAGCATTTGTGAAATAATCTTATAAATCCAGAGTCAAATGCAATTGTGCAATATCTGGTCAATGGAAAATAGATTGGTGTGGTTCCCTATTTAGTGGTATGAATCTCCTTTGAGGGATATCTAGGCTTAAGCTAGAGTCATTGATCCTTAATCCTAGCCTAAAAGCCACCATTATTCTTTATACAAGAATATGTACATACATACATGCATACATTATACTATTTCCTTTTGAAGTAAGCATTTCAAAGAGCACAGAAACATATGTGAAAATATGTGAAGATTAAACCAAACAACTTCCTAATAGATTTGCCAAACAGAAATAACAATAATTGCCACCACCATTGGGTCATGTAGACTGCAGTCTAAACCTATCACCCTCCAGGAGTATTAGATATTTCTCTTTCCATTTTTAATTTCCTAATAAATTTTTCGAAGTCTTCTTTACTTTCTGCTAACCAAGGGCAATAATCTGCACCTAACTATGGCATTTACAATATATCTAAAGGTGCTAAACTGGAGAAGGCTATTAGAGGCTACCAGCAAAATGGTAACTTCTGCCTACTACATTCCCAGATCTATCAACTCCAGCAAGTGACCTCAGGACTATGGATAGAAGAACATTATGTTTGTCTTGTAATAGTGTGATAGACATGGTCCTGCTGTTGTCTTTTATCTCTTGCCCTTTTATTATAAAGACTTCGGTACTATATGACTTTCTGCAAGGGGAAAAGGTACCACAAAATTCATTCTCACAAGAAAGTTGGAAGCAGCTAGAGAGCTTCAAAGCCAAAGGTTCTTGTCCATTTCATCTTAATTGTGAATCCTTGTGAAAGCTCAGTTTTCAAGTTGAACTCCAAAAAACCACTGCTTGTGTTTCTTTTCCATAAACAGGGATATTAAGGTGATCTTCTCATCAGCAGCTTGCATCAATGGCAGCTTTCTACAAAAGAGGTAACTACATCCATCCAAGATACATTTTCCGACCATTATTAGAAATTAAGGAAGACATGCTTAAGTAGAGCAAAACTAAGGAGGAGGTATATTTGTCAGTCCTGAGAATCATGCAGATTATTATAAAAGGGGTCCAGTTGCTACAACCTTGCGATCCACTGAATGATCTTCATACCCAAATCTAATTCAAATCTTTCACAATTTACAAGTTTCCATGAAGTAGAGAAAAGTCTATGATGGTGATTTTTCCTTATCTTTCCTGCAGAGAGGAAAGTTTCAGAACATCTGAGGAGATTGCTGGTGTTGATATGTCAGCTGTTCTTCTTTTCTTTGAGAAGATTACCACTAAGCCTAAAATCTTCACAAAGGTATAATGTGTCATTGAGATTTCACATATAGAATATAATAGAATATTTTTTGATGTTTGTCTTCAGGGAGTCAGTTCCAAGTAAATAATTCTGAGTGGGCAAATAAGCTTACAAGAAAGCCTATTATACCAAGATTGGCTGTGTAATGTATGGATACAGCAGAATACAGGGTTTATTCAAGGCCAGCAGTTTTTTTACCTAGGCAAAGCATTTAATGCCTTTGTTGGTTTGTTGGTTGTTTGTTCAACAAAGCCACTACAAATATACAGAACTGAATATTCAGGGAGCAGAACATTCTCTTCTTCCTCTTGAACATGGTTGGCTTGAAACAGGCACATTTCATTTGGATCACCATAAATTAATCCCAGTTCACAGGGTTAATTTCCAGAAAAGTGCCACACCATCTTTGGAGCAGTTGGAATAAGCATGTTTCGGAGGAGGAATGGAAATTTCAACTTTGCATATCCCTGGAAACTATAGGCCTAATTCATTTTGTAGTAACCTTTTTTTAAAAAACTCTGCATCAGTTTCATAGACAAAACAAGTGAATAATATTTATAGCAGCTAAGTCAGGCTGCTGAGAATATTTAGAAAGCAACTAAAAGACTACACAGCACAATGGCATCCACACCAAACTACAGTGTCACCAAAAAGGTGGCAAGTGCACAGTGACATCATCACACAGATGCCCCCATTACATACTTGCATCCCAATGTCTGATTCAGGTAGGTAGATCATGGCATTTGCATGGTGACAGCATCTCTCTCATTTGGTCTTTTGCCCCCCATGAATGCTCAGGCAGCATGGCAATATAATGAAAATATAGGCTACAAGGCAAGGCATTGTTGGTCTCTTTGATTATCTGGTTCTGGTCAAACTGGCTTCTCAGGGAGAGAAAAAAAATCAAATACAGGGATAAGCACTCAAATTCTTAATGGAAGATTTCTACAGAGGCTCTTAATGGAGCTTGCAGCCCCAGCATACCTGGAAAGCACAAGTCGGGGAAGGGAATTCATGTGTATACTCCTTGCAGAATACTGGTGTTTCATGGCATACATCTTTACGTAGATTGTCTCCCATGATTGAAAATGAAAAAAAGAAATGCTGAACCCAGAGAAATCACTAACAGATATATGGGACTCTCAGTCTGAGTCCCTAATTCACATTTCAAATGCTTTGAAGTGCTCTGATCTTACTCTCCACGGTGGACTTTGTGTTGTGTTCAGTACACTGTCTTGTCCCATGTACTTACTGTAAGAAAGGTCAGCAAGAAGGAAAACTGGGCTATCCCCTGCCCAAGGAATGAATTAAATGCATACATTCTTCTTCCTTCTTTCTCTTCAAGGTGCTAAAGGCTCTTGGGAGCCTTCTGCGTTGTCCTCCTCACTCTCCCACCTCACCAGAAGCACTCAGGTTCTTCCTCATTGTGCCCGTACTTTTACGAAAGCAAGATCTCAACTCAGACCATCTCCTTAGTCAACTGGCAGAAGCAATCTGGAACCTCCCACAGAAAGGCAAGCAAGCACTTGGTAAGACGGGTGCTCAATTGCTCATTTCATTGAAAGTCCAAAAAAGCCCATCTCATGCAAACTGGAAGGGTTTTCAGACAGTCAGGGTAAAAGGCAGATCATCATTATTTCATGTTTACTTTATTTGCACCCTATTCCAAGCCAAAGGCTCTGAAGAGCATACATGCTGTTTAAAAAGTTCTATTAAAAATGGAGAGGGGAAAACTTCCAGAGAAATAAAAATTTCCAGACTCTTTGAGGAATCGCCTCTTTCAGATTACATCTGTCCATCCGATCAAGTCAGGCAGGAGGGGTATGTTACGGGTCCTGTCTGTTAAGGAGTTACATCTGATGGGACCCAGGAGATGAGCCTTTTCTGCCATGGCAGCCGTCCTTTGGAATGTCATCTCCCTGAGGTAAGAGTAGCTCTGACCCTGGTGACCTTCCAAAAATCCCTCAAGATGTGGTTCTTCCAACAGGCCCTGGGCATCCCTTGGAAACAGGGAGCCTGTGAGATGGCTTTATTATAAGTGAGTCTTTTAAACCCTCTTCCATGGTCTTATTTATTTGTATGTTTTCTTGCTTTTAATGGTTAAGACATATTTTTATTTGTTTTATTGTACACCACCCAGAGTCACACTTGTGAGATGGGCAGCTGTATCAATTTGGGTAATATTTTATTTATTTATTCATCAAACACCCATGGTAGTAATTCTGAGGTTTGCTTGAGTAATAGAGGTTCAACATCCGAATAACTCCTGTTAGGCCAGTAACCAGGTTTGCCTGTCTCATTACCACCATCTTTGCTGCAATCCAGCACACCTGATCTCTACAGCAGAGCCCTTCTTGAAAGAAACAGAAATGTGAACATAGATTGAGTGTAGATTAAAGAATTCCCAGTTGCCCAGTCAAAAAGATCAGATAGGGTATGTAGCATAACAGAGCAAATTCCACTGGCAGAACAGGCAATAGTAATGTCATTGCGGTGAAGGTATACCAATAATAGGCTGATGAAACAGTGCTGTCACAGCAAAAATGACTGAAGGGCATACACATGGTATGATGACTGTTCTGGGTTAATGTGGACTTGACCCATTTCTTCTGTGACATGTTACCCCCAGAAAAAAGGGAGCATTAAGTTAAAACAGTGCTAGAAGATTACTTCTTAGTCCCTCAATCATACCAGAGCAGTATTTCTCAACCTTGGCAACTTTCAGATGTGGGGACTTCAACTCCCAGCCTTGCTGGCTGGGGAATTCTGGGAGTTGAAGTCCACCCATCTGAAAGCTGACAAGGTTGAGACACGCTGTACTAGAGGATAGATTTCAAGCTATCTCAGAAGCCAGACACCGCCCCACACCAAAACTCTAACCCATCGCTTACCTACTATTTTGTGTAAAAACTTCTGAGCGCTGAGTGTATTTTGATATCATATGATTAGGTCCCCGTATTTCTCATTTTGAGATATACCTAAAACCGACAAGCAGTGATCATTTGCCCTTGCTTCCTCTCTGTAACAACTTTAGTCCTTTTTCTTATAGAATTGTTAGGTTGCAGTCGGTTGCAGTTGAGAAGCTAATGATCTCAGAGTTAAATGGAGAAGGTCAGTCACTTAAGTGTCCTCAATCACAGTCCACATCTGGTCAAATACAAGAGACTTACAGTTCACATTACTTACATCCAAACTACAAACCTTTGCAGTGACGAATACAAACACAAAGAATATGCCTGTCTATAAATGTCCTCTCTAAGTCCTGGTTTGATTATGATTGTAGAGTAGCCAAGGAGACACCCACTTGAAGTTCATTGATATACATGCCATCCTTCATTTGATACTAACCAAAATGTAATAGCATTGAAAGAAGTTATACAAACTTTAGAAAAATGAAAGCACTACCACAGTGACCTCCTGCCACCAGCTGATTGAAGCAGTCCAGAATGGAAATTCTTCTCTTTTCTGGCATAATATTGCTGGCTGCTCAATATCAACACCCCATATGGATTACTGTAGATTACTGGGAGACACACACACATTAGTCCTTTTTCGTTAAATGTCTCAATTGATGCATTGCGGCAATGGCAATCAGTCTCAACAAATTAGATCAGAAGGATTATATAATGCCTGAGTTCTGGGGACTCATTATATTCCCCCAAATAGATTTAAAATAAATTTATCCTGGTGGACACCAGTTTTGGCTGGTTTTGTATCGATAAAATAGCATTAATCCCCATCGATTGGGGGTTGGCTATTATTATTCCAATTTGTAAGAAAGGTAACGATAACTTAGTTAATAATAGGCCCATTAGTCTTCTCAACGTCATCAATAAAAGTATGTTATGCATTTAGCAACTATGTTGGAGGATTAGATTAGTCAAGAGAAATTGAGCCGCCCAGAGTCACCCTCTGGGGAGATGGGCAGCATATAAATTTAATAAATAAGTAAGTAAGTAACTAAGTTCTTGGAGGAGCAAGTTGGATTTAGATCAGGTAGGTCTATCACTAATCATCACCTGGTTTTGGCAGCACTTTACTAAAAACATTCACTTAAAACCAAGAACAGCTGTTGGTTTTAAAGTGGTGTTTGATTCTATCTCACCTGAGGTGCTGGTGAGACTGTGAGTTCTAGTTGGCTGGGTGACTTCGGGCCAGTCACTCTCTCTCAGCCCAACCCACCTCACAGGGTTGTTGTTGTGGAGAAAATAGGGGGATGAAGGGTTAGGTATGTATGCTGCCTTGAGTTGACAAAAAAATAGGCAGGATAAAAATCAAACAAATGATAAATGTCTTCTATGCCTAAGTGTCTTCTGTGCAGATCTGATAGCAGTGGGTCTTCTATCCTAATTTAATTTGACATTCAGGGGCATCTGCCAAGGCTGCACATAGCATTCACTCTTTTTAATATACAAGATGTACCAAAAAAATCAAGTCCCGTAGGCCAATCACAATGCTTTTTTTTTTTTCTTAAGAGAAAATGTTTCTGTACTTAGGAATGCATCAACCAGCTAAGGAAGCGTTTAGAAGAAAATGACAACCCATTCAAACATCTAATGTAATTTATATAATAAATTGTTTATGGGGCCTGACTTTTGGTACACCTCATATATATTAATTCCCTCATCCAGCAGTTAAAATATGTAGATGCTCCCAAATTGGGAATAGACCTTTCTCAATTCTGCTATTATTTCTTAGTTCTACATATCATCCTCCTAAATATATTTCTAATATAGTCCTTGGGCTAGAACCTGGGCTGATTAGAGTGGAAACAAAAATCTGGATAGTCGTACTCAATTACTGCTTCAAATTAATTTATCAGCTCATTGGGCCGCTCAGTTTTTTTTCAGGTGATACCTGTAAATCTACCTGGAAAAAGTTCCCTTAGACAAAAAGCACGATTCTCTAACAACTCTCAGAACCTGAATTACAGTGCAATCCAAATCCATTACCCAGCTTCTCTAAAATCACCAAAAATAGTTCATGGGAAAGGTATTTCGATGGGCTTCCTATTGGGGTGTATTTGATACACCAAATGCTGCTTGGCCTTGAACTAGACGCATTGCAATGCACTGTTCCCAGGCAGATACTGTAGTGGCTCCATAATATTTGTCCGCATAGCACGGAAGAAGTTGAATAAATCCCCCATTCTTTTGCCCTGCAGATTTTACAATGAACCAAAATCTTACGTTCCCTCTTTTAGCAGCAATCCCTGGCCATTCAGAAGACTTCTGTGCTGATTTCCTTCTTCCACACTAGGCCTTTTATGGTGCTGTTAAGTTTTGTTACCTTCAGGTGTGCAGTGGGACATCCACAGAGAAAAATAAATCTGAATGAAATATATATGCTCACATGGGGTTTTGTTTATCCATTTTTTTCTTTTCTTTACCTTGTATTTGTTTGCTAGCTAATGGCCCATTCATAATAAATTGAAACTGAGTGGCATGTCTACGTGTCATAAACTGTTTAACCTCGTGGCTTCTCATTTGCAGAGAATTCCCAGAATGGGATGAATCTAAATGGAAGGCTGTAACAGTACTGGTAGACACAGGATTGTTGTGTAGGCGTTAGGCGTCTATTCCAATGCTCTTCCTGTGAATGAAGTAGTGCAATTGTGCCACAGACACCTTTTTGGGAACATTGTGGACTAACTGCTCTTTCAGGCTATTTTAATTCTATGTATAGTGCCAAGCCTTAAAGATGAATTGTTGAGAGACTTTGATTCTAACTTGGGATGACTCCCAAGAGATGGTTCTTAACATTAACAATCACAAGATGGAGCTCTTCCATCTTTAACAGTTCTTCTCTAATAAAGAAAAAGATAGAAAACAAATGGAAGATGTTGTCTGGACTCCCTGTAAAATTCTGTCCATACCAAAGGGTGATGTCATGATGAAAGCCTTATCCAGAAGCGATAACTTCAATTTATTCTGCTGCAAATCAGAGTTAAGACAAAGAGACATGTTCTCATTGTGTTCCTTGACTGTCTGCTCTCTTTTCAGAAATTCTGTGGTCCAATTTGGAAGCTTCCTTCTTTAAGGATCTAGTGACCATGTTTCAAAGGCTTATTGATATTAAGCTATCTTCTTTCAAAAAATTTGATTTTGGGAATTTCAACAATAAGGATGAATATCTTACGCCTCTTAAAGTCTTCCAAATGCTTTATGAGGTAAGAAAAAAACTTGGACTGAAAGTAGGAACAGTGAGTAGAAAGAACAATAGCAAGAGAAATATCAAAGGTAAAGGAGATGCATTCTGTGTGGTCAAGATTTAATTTGTAGTTTTAAAATAGAACTGTATTATTTCTTAATTATATACATCTGTTTATACAATGACTCTAGGCGGCTCACAACAATCCGTAAAACATAGTTAAAAACATACTCTTCCCCTAGCCCATGATGCACAGCCCTCCAGAAAGGTAAACAGGTCTGATCTCTGGTGGGAGGCTGTTCCAAAGGCTGTTCTCCACTGCAGCAGCCAATGAGAAGGCACTCCTCTGAGGTCCATCAGATGTCAACATTTAAGGGAGGGGACCAGTCACTGCTGGTGCTGGCCACGGAGAAAGGAGAACCACTGCAAAACAGTGCTGCCCAGTCCCTGGAGCTGGTCCAGCAAGATACCCTGGTCAATGGCATCAAAAGCCACTGAGAGATTCAGACGGGCCAGGATGGACAAACCACTCCCATTCTGAACCCTCCAAAGGTCATCCACAAGTCCAATCAATGCTGTCTCGATACTATGGCTTGGCCTGAATCCTGACTGGAAAGGGTCCAGATAACCCGCTTCATCCAAAGCCCTCTGTAGCTGGAAGCTCACCACTCTCTCAACAACCTTCCCTAAAGAGGGAAGGTTGGAGATTGGACAGATGGTCTCTTGAGGAGGGGGCGAAACACTGCCTCTTTCAAGGCTGGTGGAACCACCCCCTCCACAAGGAGGTGTTTACCACCGCTTGGACCCAATCACATGCCACCTCCCAGGAAGCCTTAACTAGCCAGGAGGGGCATGGGTCCAGACTACAGGTGGCCAAGCTCAAAGCAATAAAGACCCTGTCCACTTGCTCAGGACTGACTGGCTCAAACCCTTCCCAGATAACCAAGCTAGGATGTGCCTCAGTCACTTCCACTGGATCTGTCTAGCCAGAGTCCAACTCAAAATGAAGTCGAGTGACTTTATCTGACAGATGTCTAGAATAGTCCTCACAATGACCCTGCAAGGGTTCATCTGGCCCTCCCATACCCAGGAGGGCCCTGACCACCTGAAACAGGGATGCTGGCTGGCCATCTGTGAATGCAGTAAGAGCGCAGAAGTAAGCATGCTTTGCTGCTCTTACCACCACAAGGTAAGTCCTAATAAAGGCTCATATCTGTGCTCAGTCAGCTTCATCCCTTGTCTTCCTCCAGTGGCACTCTAGGCATCTCTTGTGTTATTTCATTTCCATGAGCCTGGCCGTAAACCAAGTGGCCCTATGGGAGCTGTGATCACAGAGTCTGCAGAGGTGTAATCCAATCCAAGACCTGTGTTGCATGCTCATTCTAAGCCACAACTAAGACCTCAGCCGAATCATGCATCAGAACCTCAGGAATAACCCCACCTTCCCTCTAAAACCCTACTGGATCCATCAGTTGCCTGGGGTGGACCAATCAAATAGGCCCAACCCCCCTGTGGTGGGGGGGGGCAGCTTCAGAGAACTCCAGGGCCAAGAGGAAGTGATCTGTCCGTGGCAAGGGACGGATGTTAATGGTCCATGGCTGCCATGGTGGCTATGAACTCCTGGGCCACCTCTGACTCCAGGCCCAGAGAAGGCAGATTAAAGGCCCCCAGAACCATAAGCCTAGGGAACTCTGCTGCCAACTCCCTCACAGAGTCTAGGAGCTTGGGCAGAGCCGCTGTCTCTCTGCATGGAGGAAGATGGGCAAGCAGCAAGTCTAACTGATCCCCGCAACCCAACTTCACAAAGAGAGCCTTGCATCTGGGTATGTCTGGGGCAGTGTCCCTAAAGGCCACTAGAAACTCTTGAATAATGATAGGCGCCCCACCACCCCTGCCCCGGAGTTGCGGCCGGTGCCACACTTGAAACCTGGGAGGGTACATTTCTGAGAGAGGAACACTCCCCTCTGGGCCCAACCAGGTCTTGATAATACAGGCCAGGTCAGCTCTCTCATCCCTGATCAGATCAGATCATGGATGAGGTGAGCTTTATTGCAGGCTGCCCTGGCATTTTTTATTTTTTTTATTTTTTAATTGCTTTTTAATTAATAACAAAAAAGGAAAAGAACAAACCACAAAGATAATAATGATGAAGATACATACGTTGTCAAAAAGAGAAGAAAAAAAACACATAAAAAGTGCTTTAACAAAAAAGTGAAATACAACAAAGAAAAAAACATTAATATGTCATTATGACAGTAAACAATTAAAATTCTATATATACTTATCTAATGTAAATATTATTCAAGTACATATACTATATGTCTAATACATTTATATGACTACCTTTTTTTTTTTAACCTACTGTATTTTGG